CAGACCACACAAGCAAGGATATTACACAAAGCCAACACCAGGAAAGGTACGCTGGTGTAAGCCTTGAGGTATCCTACAGCTTCTGTCAGAAACTTTTCCAACATGAATTAGGAAACATTTCTTCTGAACAGTGAGGCATGTCAAGACAGATGAAAGATTGGTGGTTCAGCAACAGTATTCCACCCCGGATCTGGGAGAGAGCTGGTACAGTTTCAGATGGAGTGCCAAGCTTGTTCCAGAGAGCTCAAAGGTGGAAACACAAGATTTACACCATGACCAGCGCTGACAAAGAAGCATCCCTGAATAAAACCACTGGGTTCACAAGTTTCTGGGGTTGCCAACTGATACTTAAAGGGGTATGCAGGCTTCAATGCGATACCAGGGTGAAGACTTCCCTGGGGGTCCACGTTCCTCTCCCACACAAAACACCACTCTGTACCAAAAGGGAGTAGTACCAGTAACAAGCCAGGCCTGAGACTTGGGAAATCCATGCCACTTCAACATCCTGCTTTAGCCTTGCTCAAAATACGTACAGGCTTCCCATGAGGGAGAAGGCACTGCATAGGGAACATAAGCCACAAGAGCAACAAAAGCCACAAGAGCAACAAAAGCCAATCTAAGGTTTAAGATACATTGATCAGAAAGAAGTTTAGAGAACAGACTGAAGAACTCAAGATGGGAGGACTCCCTAAGAGACAGAGGGTGAGAGATCACTGAGATAGGTCACACTGGTTATTTGCTGCCATTGATCTCTGCATTCACAGGTGTGTATGGCTGACCCATTGAATCCATGAGGAATGACAGAGGGATGCCTGAGCACAGGGTGGGCACTTCTAGGTCAAGAGGAGGGAACTACCTGCATTTGAGTGACTGTCTATAAACCAACCCCTCAATCTATGCAAGGAAAACCAGCTCCACTGTCAGTTTCTTGAAAAAACTTGGGGTTTATTGATTTAAACTGCAAACAGTCATTACAAAAGAGATTTTCTTTTAAATAAACTCACACAAAGAGGAGGAAAAAGCAATGTAGTGAACAGTAACGGGGGGGGTTCAATTACATTCATTCTCTTTGTGCCAGTCCCATTCACCTTGGCAAGGAAAACTCCAAACTTGGAATACAGAAATGCAAAGACAAACTGTATTTGGAATGTCTTCAGATAGGCACTTTGAGCCCAAGGCTTTTCTCCTTGAAGAATCTATACAGAAAGAGGAAGACAAAGGTCTTCTTTCCACTGTCTCACAACAGAGCTCAGGTATGTACATTCTAAAGCCCTAGGTAGTTAAGACCCAGGGGAGGGGAAGAGGAGAAGAAGAAAGGCAAAGAAGCACATTAACTCAATTTGCAGTCCAACACAAAAACAAAAAAGGGGGGAAATTCTAAAATAAATAATCCAAACACAGTTTTTGCATTTTTTTAAATTAATTTTTCATTTTTTAAAATAAAATAACCAAAAAAGTGTAAAGTTACAAAAAATGTCATTGTAGTATAATATATTAAACTGTGGGGAAAAAAAGGAAAAAGACACTTCACAATCTTAAGATTAATATGGAAGATCATAATTTAAACATAAAAGAATATATTCTATGGATTCATCATCCCGATAAATATGAACAAAATTAACAAAAAAAGCATAGGTTTCGGCAATAAATACGTTTTGATAAGTTAAATAAGCTTTTTTATATTGTTGTGCAGTGACAAGCAAAATCTGCTCTCCAATTTCTGAAGTTATACAAAATTAAAAACCCAGAAAAAAAAAAAAAAGAAAGCTTGGCGTGAGTGCTCTAAGATAGGTCTAAAGTACTCTAGAGCAAAACCATTAAAGCTATGTCTACTGGAACTTTGTTTACACGAACTTTTGTGTGTGTGTGGAATGACTTCTGTTGGCCCCACCCCCTCTATTTCTGTATTTGTTTTAAGATGTCACATGAATACACGGGGAACTTTTTAGCACCAAAATCAAGTCTCTCATAAGTCCATCTGTTGTTTTCTTTTTTTGCTGTTGTGTGGTTTTGTTTTCTTCCTCCCAGTCAAAGTCCCACTCTTGTTACAATCTTTGTCCCTTCTCAGCTTTTTCTTCCCGCAGACCTGAGCGGATCCAGGCAAGACTAGTCTTTAAGGGGAGGTGAGAAAGAAGACTGGATGTTAACGCTTGCCCACATGCCTGCAGCCTAGAGGAAACTGGCCAGTCAGGAAGGGACTGGGAGAGGGTTATGCAGTACATGGCCAGTGGAGGGAGCTGGATCCGGACATTTCCTGCACATCTGGAAGTGCACAGAGCTGCTGGTGCCCTCTGCAGCTGGAGAGGTAATAGTCACAGTGAAAGTGTTAAAGGCACTAATTTTGTAAACGTTATTGCTTTTCATCGTAATTTGGCACTTAAGGTTTTAGCCAGTGGGTCTACAGCAGGCAGGTGGACAGGTTAACATCCAGCTCAGACTACAGGGGATGGGATGGGAGGAGTTCAGCTTAACATTGTGATGGGGGGGGGGGGCAAGAGGAAACCCCAGATTAGTCGTCAGAGATGGAGAGTCTGCTGAAGATGGGAAGACGTCTTGAGGTGTCCAGGATAGGGGAATCTGAGCCGCTGTGGCTGCTGCTGGAGCTGCTCAGATATCCCTCCTGGTCAGAGAGGGAGTCCTGAGGACTGGGCGGCGAGTCAAACATGTTGGGGGACTCGGACATGGGCCTGAACAAGAAGGTGGTGGGGGAGTTCCCACTGGGCACCTGCACCCCCATGCTGGGGGCAAAGAGACTGACCAGCTCCTGGCTGGAGAAGGTGAAGGGGTTGCTGGCGCAGTCAGGCAGGGTGGGGGAGCCCAGCAGGTCGTCGGCGCTCAGCATGGGCGGCGGGGTGATAGATGTGGGGCTGTCCAGCAGCCCGCTGGCAGCAGTGCTGGGGAAGCCGGCGAAGCTGAAGCTGTGCTGCAGGCGGGGTCTGTCGGTGACGGCGGGCTCCCGGCTCCCAGCCACAGCGCGGCGCTCCTCCGCGTTGTGAATGAAGTGGCAGCGCGGCCCGTAGGGGCAGAAGCCGATGGTGTGGAAAGTGCGGCAGAGCTCGGTCTTGTACTTGGGGTGGCGGGTGAGGCTCCGCAGCTCGTGGATGCCGTGGGCGAACTGGCACTTGTCGCCGTACTTGCAGGCGCCGTTCTCCTCGAAGGGGCGGCACAGCTCCGTCTTGTAGCGGCTGGAATTGACCTGTCCCCCGGGCTGCTTCTGCTGCAGCAGGCGCTCGCCGCCCTCGGAGAAGGAGCGGTCCCGGAAACGGCTTTCCCGGGGGCCCAGCATGGGAGCCGGCTCCCCTTTCAGGCTGGTAAGGAGCTGGTTCTGGTGGAACTTGGAGTTGGGCAGGGTGACAGAGTGCCTCCTAGGGAAGCCCCCGCCGGCCGGGGTGCCCACCGCCTTCCTGTCCAGCAGGCACCCGCTGACACTCGAGGGACTGTAATTCAACATCTTGTTGCTCTGCGGGGAGAAAGCAAGGGCCGGTCACTGTCACCGCCTCCTCCGGTGTCCCCAAGCAGCCCCGAGAGTCTCCAGCGGCACGGAAAGGCTGGCCCCCGGGCAGCGGGGCAAACAGGGCAGCCCTCCTCACCAACATCTGCTCCAGCCCTCTCGCCGCTGCCCCCGAGAGCCACGGGCCGCCCCGCCCCATCCCCCCGCGAAGCCCTGGCAGAGCTAAGTAAGGAAGCGACCCAAGCGCCAGACGCGGGGGAGCCGCTGGCTGCATGCAACAAAACTCGGAGGCCGGAGCTCTCTTCTGGGAGAGCCTCCCAGGGGATGGCGGTGACCAGGAAGGGCAGCGCGCAGCGCTGGCGCCCGCCCCAACACCACTCCTCCCAGCGGCCCCCCCCCGCAGTGCGGCCGCGGCTCCCACCCAGCCCCCGCCGCCCCGCTCCCCTTGCGGCGTGGCCGAATAGGGGCGGCAGAACCTCGCGGGGAGCGCGCCCGCCCGCCTGCCCGAGCGTGTTGCAGCGCGATGGCCCCAGGGGCAAGGGAACGACCCGCGACTGAGCCCGCCAGGAGCGCGGGGCGGTGTCCCCCGCCGTCCCCTCCGCCGGCGGGACCGAGGAGGGAAAGCGCGGGCAACAGCAACGGGGGATCCGCACCCAGTTCCTCAGCCCCCCCTCTACGCCGAGCTCGGTACCGGCTAGCAAACGGGGGGGGGTGGGGGTGGTAGGAAACCCCAAACTCGAACCTGAAAGTCGGCGAAGAGCGCCGGAGCCGCTCCCGACGGCGCGCTTACCTTGCATAAAACTTCGCTCAGGTCGAAGATGGTGGGCGACACCAGGGCTGTGGACATCTTCGGAGAGCGAGGTGGGGGGGGGGGGGGGACGCGGGTGCGGCCGCGGCACACGGACACAAGGAGTCGCGGCGTGGGTAAGGCAGAGCCTCGGGCGCCCGGCGCGCAGCCTGCCTCCCCCCGCCGCCGCCGCTCCCAGCCCGCCGCCGCTTCCAGCGGGCTCGGCAAAAAGCTCAACTTATAAAGTTTCGGACTTACCCCCCGGAGAGGAGGAGCCGGAGAAGGGAGGAAAGGGTAGGAGGGGGGAGAAGGGCAGGGTGATTGACACCGCGACTGAATCACCCTGGCGGGCGGGGCCGGAGAAACTTTCGCGAGGAAGGAGGGGGGAGGGAAGGAGAGGGGAAAGGAGGGAAAAAAAAAAAAAAAAAAGGGGGGGGGGGGGAGGAAAAAAAAGAGCAGAAGCGGGGGAAAACCCGGCCCGCAGCCGCCGCGCTCCCCGCCCTCCTCAAGAAGGCCGTTGTGTGCGCGTGTAAGGCGGGGGCCTGCGCGCGGGGGGGGGGAGTGGGTCGAGGAGCGGCCTCGCGCTTGTCCGGTACCCGTGAGCCCCCGCAAGTACCAACGGCCCGACGGCGGTTGAGCGGGGGAGGGGGTTCTGCGGGGCTCTGTCGCTTGGAGTGAGGCTGGAGCTGCTCGGGGCTGGCTTTGTGTGGATACACACGGACACCTTCCGTAGTGTGTGTGTGTGTGTGTGTGTGTGTTACTCCTCTTCCCCGGTTTTTATTGGAAGCTGAGAGCGCTGCGAGGGGAAACAGCTCCCGTCCACGTTAGTTTAAATGGTTAAAATACGGGTTTGCACTTCAAAAGGGTCTCTGAGGAGTTCTGCCCTTTTTTCTCCACATAGTCCTCTTCCAGCCCCCAGAACTCAGAATTGTAAAACTGAGAGAAAAGAAACAAAATAACATCTCCGAGCAAGTAATCTGTTCCAGATTTTAGTACGCGAAGTATGATTCATGCGTATACCGATACGGCGGGGAGGAGTGGGGAGCATGGCGGCAGTTTCTGTGTAAAAGTAAGTTAAAACATTAAAAAAACAAAGCGCCCGGAGGTTTCTCGGTGTTAGGGCGCCTCAGCGTGAAACCTGCTTCCCCCAAACCCACCCAGCCGAGCAAGGCTCGCCCTAACCATAACTTCAGCGAGTGTTTCACCCAGGGCCGAGCAATGGCATCCCGGCCCTCTCCCTCCCCGCACAAACAGCTTGAGGGGGAGGGGCCTGCCGCTGCCCGGCGCCACACACTGCTCCGCCGCCCCACGGCCGGCTTGGCGGGCAAGAGCGAGCCGCCTGCCTTGGGCAGCGCAATGCCGACCCGAGCGGCCATCGCTCTGAAAACTTCAAACAAATGATCCACTTCCTCTTCTGTTTGCTTTAGAGTCGCAGGACCTAGACTTTGAGCTGGCGGCTGATCTTTTTCCCCTCCTTCGGTCTTCAAGAACAGCCAAAATAACCGAGAGGAACGCCCACAGGCTCCAGCTATTCCAGATTTCTGACTTTTTTTTTTTAATATAGATATTGTTATTATTTACTTAAGGAGAGCAGTCAGGTTCCTCGAATTTCCTTCTCTTTCTAGTTTCTTCTTTTATTTTCCTTGCTTTGGCCAGAAGTAACCAGGAGACCAGCCTATTATTTTCTGCAGTTGTTTACTCATTCTGTAGATGGTGCTTGTTCCCAGGGCTCTGAGCCTCTCTATAATTAAACCCATTTTAATTGTTAGGTTAGAAACGTCATTTCAGGGGCTTTCCAAGAGTTACCGAGAAAGCCGGCTAAGATAACTATTTCTCTCCTTAGTCGCTCCCAGCCTGGTTTTCAACCCGGTCCCTCTCCATTGGCGCATGAAGGTGCAAGGCTCAGCAGAGGGCTCTGTGCGGGACAGCCCCCACCACTTTTGCATTATTCGCTTTCCCGTGTGCCTTTGTTTTGGAAACTTGGGGTTTAAGGTTGCGCATTTCCACGGATCAAGCAGCGAAAGCTGAAGCCGAGGAGGAATTTTTTTCCAGTGATTTAGCTTGGCAAACCCCGATTCCATGGTGGTCTGCTTTGCATTGGCTGCGCACATGCTCAGATCAGGAATTTAGCTACTCACCCCACCTCGTGGCTAAAAGTCAGAGCCCTCCGGGCCAGAGTGGGAATTTGTGTGGGCATGAATTCACACTGAGCAGAGGAATGAAAAAATCGGAGCCTTGCACCTTCCACCAGAGACGTGCCAACACTTTGAAAGATGCAACTGAACAAAGATACGTAAATGAATAAAATGAAAGTCAATTATTAAAGAAGATTACTGAAAATGTGAATGAATGCAGTGCCGTGCTCATTAGCTTTCTCGTGTAGGTCAATCTGTCCAGGCCCAGCATGTTTCAGTTGGGATGCTACAGCTGGAATAAATGTCTGGGGCTTTCCAAGCCCTTCCCAAATCTGTCCTCAGTGCAGGAGCAGCTTCTGAAGCATTCTTGTTCCCTGGTTCCAATGCAAGCAGATGCTAAACTTGTGTAAAAATACAGGGGAGTAAGATCCTTCATCAGACCTGTGCACACATTTAACAGAGGAATTAAGAACCACTTTCCCAAAAGAGAGCTGAAATGGGCTGGAATGGCCAGAAAACAGGGAAGAACCAGGGCGCAGTGAATGAAATGATAAAGGCAGGAGGTTCAAAGGAGTATTTTTTCCAGTTGTGTGTGTGTATAAAACTGTGGGCTCATTGGCACATGATGCTGTGGAGGTCAAAAGTATAAACAGGGTCAGAAAAGCAATTCAACAAATTTATGGAGGAAAAGTCCCTGGAGGTTTACTAAAGGCAAAGGCAGACCTCCGCAGCATGTTGCTGGACAATGCACAGAAAAAGCATCACTCGTTCCCCTGTTTTTAACTCTTAAGCATTAACTGCTCTTGGAGATAAGAGAAAGGCCACAACAGACCTTTGATCTGACTCAGTTCAGTTATTTTTACGTAGTTAGGGTCTACTTTTGTGCTTTATACTCCACCTAATCCTGATGGGCTTGGAGGTGCACCTCACAAATTTGGTTTGGGATTAGCTGTGCAACATCAGATTGTTTGGGCCAGGCAGGAGGAGGTCGGTGGTGGGAAGTACAAATCACGACAGTTTCATCCCTTACCCACTGGGCACGGGTTCACACACTGGCTTCTGCTAAAGGCTGGAGAGCAGTCTCGTGGAGTGGCTGCAGTTTAACTCCCTGTCAGGGTAATAAGAGGTTACTTTGAGAAGTGGGTATAAACTGAACCCAAGTGCCAGTTCTGACACAAATATATCTGGTGATGTTACAGCTCCCATAGCAACAGAAAGAGATTGTTATCTTAAGACACCTCCACTTGTCTTCACCTGGACTGAAGAGGTGCAGCAATAGGAACCCTGCAGGTGTGCTTGTGTCAGAGTTACTGAACAAGAATACGAGAGCAAAAAAGCCTGTTGTTGAAAACAAGGTGGAGGGTAGTGGCTTGGTTTGTTCCCCTTCCTACCACCCAATTCCCAAAGTTTCAAGTTAGGAAAGGGAAGTGCTTTTGCTGAGAGCAACATTTTCTCCAGTGAGTTTCATATGAGTTAGGCATTTCGCTGCCCTGCTCCCATGGCAATCTTCAGATAAATAGACATGCCTTTTCTGCAGTGGTATTCTGATGTACAGGGGCTGGGGCTGGAGGAAGGACAAACCTCCTGCCTTTATTTCTGCTGGCAGTGTAAAGTGAGTCGAAGCTTTCTGCAGCCGCTATTCTATTTATATCCTTTGGGTCCAGTGCTATTTTTGTTGGCTGTGCCCCTGGAGGTGGAGGTGTGGAAGTGCCTTTCTGCTCATCTCCACAGGCGCGTGTAGAATTTTCCTCCGACCCAGGCACCTCCTCGGACGCTGCGGCTTTTCAGGGGTGGTAGGCGGATGTCAGTGTGGCCATTCCCCGCCTGTTCCTAACTTTTTAATCCTTCCTTTTGTTTGGGCCTTGCGCTCCGTCCATGGAACCTCTCTGGGTAGCCACTGGGAGGTGTGAATGGCTCGGGATGGAAACCACAGCTTGTAGGTGCGCCCTCTGCCAGGCTTTTCTGGCACCGGAGGAAGCCCGGCCTCCGCCTGCTCCCCAGCGAAAGGGATATTACCGGCTGCTTCGTTAGGAAACAGACTCGCAGAGATACAGGAAAGTGTGTAAGGTGGTGGGAAGCAACGGGAGTAAGATTCCTGGCAGCGCGGGTATGTAAACATTCATAAAATAGAGAGTGTGTGCATGTGTGTACTTTGTGGTGGCAGGAAACCCAAGAAGCTAGCTCCATTATTTTTGCTGGAATTGGTAGTTACACTGCCAGACAAATATTATAAGCCCTTAATCCTCCTGACTTTGCACCTGTGAACGATCTAAAGACCATTCAAGGTGATCTGAATTATGGGACATCGTTACTAATTAGTAATGGGGTTTGGGATCTGATGTGGTTGTTCATAAAGAGGATTTTCTGTTTCTTAGAGGTGGAGATACCTCTGGGGAAACTGAGGGGAAAAGGAGACAGGAGGAATGGGTAGTATGTGGCCTCTTCTGAAAGTGTCACATGGATGTGAGTGGCCTGCCACAAATTTGGCACTGGTGGCACAGACAGGATACTGCAGTGGAAAAAGCAGAGGTATCCTTTCAGCAGACGCAGGATAAGGAATTTGGCTGAGCTTAATGGATCCAAGTTATAATTTCCAGTGGAAATACTAATGCAATCAATCTATTTCCACACAACAGGACAGCAAGCCCATGCTAGTGTTTAGTGTTTGTCAGGCAGCTGGCCCAGCCACATCCCAGGGTCCATCCATCTGCACCCAGACATGTGCAGCCTGTGTTGGGGTGAGAGCTGAGCTTAGACACAAGCCAGTGCAGAAAATAATAGGTTCAAGGGGCTGGAGGAAAAGAGCATCACCAGGACTGGCTGCTGCATGGTTGTGGAAAGCCCAGCAGCCCTCTCCTGCAGCACCATAGAGCTCCCTGCTGCTCACCACCTCTTGCAGAGAAACCTCACTCTTCTTACCAGGGTTTGCCTGTTCGCAGTGAAGTTGCAAACCCTTTAGGGCAAGGAGCAAATCTTGTCTGATCTCTCCTCCCTGAGTGCACCACAACTGCATGAAGCTGGAGGAGGGATTTCCATCCTGCTGGTGTAGCAGTGGGAGCCAAGAAAGCACCCCAGCCCAGCTACAGCAAGGTGAGGGATGGAGCAAGAGGTTGTGCACCACTGGCAGAGGAGAGCCATGAAGCAGCTGCTAGGGAGACCAGTGTGCCATCCCGCTGTGGGCCTCCAGAGCAGTACCCTGTCCCTCTCTCTGCAGGAAGCTCACCCGCATGGGACAGCCTGAACAGCTGGGTGCTGGCACCCTCTTTCTCCAGATCACAGCCAGATACATGGTGGTCCCAAGGTCCCCAGCATTCCTGCTAGGCCCAAACTCAGGGGCTGATGATGGTGTACAGCAAGAGTAGAGCTTCATATAGGTACCTTTAACCTGGCCTGGTCTGCACAGGGCTCTGTGCCTGCCAGGGCTATCTCTCACCTAAATAAATTATCATTCAGTTTAAGGAAAGCTTTAAAGAGACTATTGGCAGTTTCCAGAAAAAAAAAAAAAGCAAGCAAGCTGCACATCGAAACAGCAAATGACCTTGCATCGATAGGGGGTTAGTGCATGCCAACAGAAGTGACTGTGGACGTGGCAAGGAACAGATCTCAGCACAAACACATTTTTTTTCAAATCTTACTTCCATGCTCCCAGGCCTGTACACAGGAGTGTGATAATGCAGCAGTGATTTCTGTTGGCCTCTGCATGTTTCCAGCCAGAGCAGCCCTGGCTGCTGATTCACTGACTGCTTCAGACGTCAACCAGTGGAATGTTTCCATGATTTTTAGCTCTGAAAGAATGTGCTACAACTAAAATGCTTTCACCTTTTCTTTTCTTTTTTCTCTTTTCTTTTCTTTTCTTTCCTTTTCTCCTCTCTTTTCTTTTTTCTTTTCCTTTTCTTTTTTTCTTTTTGTTTTTCTTTTTTCTCTTTTTTTTCTTTTTCCTTTTTTCTTTTCTCTTTTCTTTTTCTTTTTGTTTTTCTTTTTCTTTTCAAGAGAACATCTAAAACTACTTGGGAGCCTCTCAGGTCTTGCCATTTGTCTGACACAAGAGGCAGTGCTGGTGTGAGAAGGTGCTGCTTGCTGTGCTAGTGGCAGCTCACCTCTGACAGGCCTGGCTATAACCCTCTGTAAAATACCATTTCCAAACACACGGGTTGCACTCCACACATCTTACATCTCCATGAGATATTTGCATTGGGGAGAGAGCTTGCTTTCCCGCCTATGCCATTCCATCAAAACATACTTTTAGCACCAGGCAAGAAGCCAAGGTCAAGTCTTCTTTTCTTTTTATTATTTTTTTGCCCCCCTGCCCTCCCGCCTGCTCTGAATACATTATGATACAGACTTCAGTTCAACTTCAGTTCCACTATTACATCTTTTCCCACAAGACCGTTGTCTCATTCAGACCACAGCAGGGAGCACGCTTTCATCTCTGCCAGCTGGGCATGGCTGGAGCGCCCCATGCCCGTAGGAGTTGCGTGGGGAGGAACAGAGGCGAGGCTTTGCAGATTCCCATACACAGAGGATGGAGGGGTTTGGCCAGGTCCAAATCTGGGAGGGCATTTCCAGGAAGCCTCTTCCACTGCCTCCTTTGCTAATGAAGAATGAAGAACAATGAGGATGGGATTCCTCTCACCTGATTTTAGGTGCCTAAAAGTTAGGTGTCTAAACCTATTTAGTTGGACAGGCTTCTTGCATAGTCAATGGAGACAAATAGGCACCTCCAGTGTGTGATTCATCTCACCTATCTTGCACATTTATCTTGAGAAGGGCTGACTCACTCTGCAGCCAAGCACAGCTTCTCTTCTGTGACTGTAAATGTAGATCAACAACTTGAGAATTTGACAACTAAACTTTACATGTCCCAAATTACAAAGGTGAGTCCTACCCCCAGCTGTGGCAGTGGCTGTGGCAGCAGCACTACCATGCCTTAACTTGGGGCCTGTCCCCCCCAGTTTCTCTCAGAGGGTCTGCTTCCAGGCCTCCCCAAGCAAGGCTGGGTTTTAGTCTGTCCAAATCACATTATCAGTCCTTATCACATTATCAGACTAGGTTAAATATTTATAAAGCACCTGGGGCAGGGTCCATGTCTTTCTTGTGTTTGTATGTTCCCTCGAGGAGCGAAGCCCCTGTGCCAGTTGCAACCCTTTGCGGACTGGTGCAGTACAGCACTGTGGATGCCTACACCAATCTGCAGGTCTTGGTGAAATGCAGCCAGGAACACAGAAAGAGCTCATGGACATTGGGAAACAAGCAGGAGTGAATCATAAGAGTCAGAAGAAGCTACTAACGTGTGGGAAAAAGGCAAATGTGCTACCTCGGCACAAACATATAATAAGGAAGTATGTAATAATAATTATTGTTATTGTAATATGGTCTGGGTGAGCATTTGGGAAAAAGATATCTAATAACTGACAAGCAATGTGGCTCATTTTGTTTTGCTATGAAATTCAAACAATGGTTATGTTTATAAGGCAATAATACGCAGGGCATAGAGCACTGGCACCGCACCAAATATGCACTCCCGAAGTTGGGTTTATATAGGTCATGCCAAACAAATAATAGTGTTCTTCAATATAATTACTGATTCATTACGGAGAGAGAATGTAATCGAGTATGTTTGGATTTCAGGGAGGCGTTAGATATAGTAAATTCATACATTTGAACTTGGATTGGGAAGACTTTGTGCACTTGCCTAGCTCTGCCCCTCTGGGAATCAGCAGTAAAATTCCCACTGCAACCTGCCCCAGCAGCACAGGAGCCTCTCTGCCAGCTTCAGCAGGCACTGTTGCTCCCACCACACTTTGCAGACACTCAGTACCCTTTGAAGCATTTCACAGATAGACTGGGAAGCTAAACTACTGGCAGTCTGAGATCTGGATCCAAATGTGTGGGACCTGGCACTTAGCTCAGGCATTGCACCAGCCCCACTGGCTGCCTTGATCTTGGGGGTGCCCCAGCCTCTCCACTTCTGAGCCTCCTGCTCCATGTCCTGCTTATGGATGTGTCTCTTTACACACATTATTCCAGTGTTATCTCAGGGGAAAGCAACAAAAGCCAGAGGACAGGATGTCCTGGAGGTGCCCATCAGCTCCCTGGCCTGATGCTCAATGCTCATACTTGCCCATGGAGGACTTAAACTGGGGTGTCCCTGTCCTGGGAAGACATCAGTGGTGTTGTGCAGCGATGCCAACCAACATGGCAAAGGAGTGCCACCAGGACTCAGGACAAAGGAGAAATGCCAGGCTTAGCTGGTGGTGAGAGAGGACCATGGGGGCTTCTCCAGGGGCTTTTGGACGGCTTTCCAGTGCAGCTAGTCCATGGGGAACTGGCATTTCAACTGCAGTACTTTGCTTTCCCCAGGAAGGCCTGGGCAGCCCCACAGCAGTCTGAGGTGTTTCCTGCTGGCCTCTGCCCCCAAACACAGGGATGGATGATGGTGCCCAGTGCAGCTTCCTCAACACCCAGCACAGCTGCCAGTACCAGGGCTTTGCTCTGTGTGACACCTGGACCAACAGTTTGAATTAGAAAACACAATGCATTGTGGAACAGCCACAGTCAGCATCCCTCATCTCCATCACCAGCCCTGCTGCTGCTCCCCACAACGCAAAGGGCAAGAGCCCCAGTGTCCTCCCTGCAACTCCACTCCAGGGAGCAGCTGCATTTGCCAAAAAGGCTGACTGGGCACAGCACAAGTTTTCTAGGAAAATGGGGGCCATGAACTGACGGACCAGCACTCAGTGCAGGAAGCACTGATGGAATACTGAGCACTGTTGGAGTGCCTTTTTGCAACGTTAAATCATGCCCCACTAGTCAGCTGACTTCTGTGAGCTTCCAAAAATCTGATCAGGAACTAGTAGGGACTATAGTAAATGCACGCTTACAAATGGTCTTTTGGTAAAGCCCCTTTCAAGAATGAAACAAACTTGGCAGCCATCAGATAAAAAGTACCATCATGGATTAAAAATTAAGTCAGAACTGATAGAAGGGGGAAAAATCCATTAAAAGTAAATGGCCACTCTTCTAGAAGGGGAAGAAAAGCTGAATGAGGTGGGAGAGGGGCAGTGGGGCCACGCTTGGAGGAGACGAAAGTGGCCCTCTGAACATTGTTTCAAAAAACAGAAATGGAGAAAGGATAACAAGGCACCAGCATTTGCTGCCAAGACAGAACCATGTATTTTAACTGCAAGCAAGGCTCAGCAGGGCTGGGAGGAACTCCAGAAGCTTCTAACTAAACTCAGAAACCAAACCAGAATGACGGAGAAAGTTCAGTGCTCGCCAAAGCAAGCTATTTCAGACAAAATAGGGCAAACCTCTTGCTCTGAATTAGAAGTTGGCTTGTAGGGGTCAGTGGTGGGCAAGGCAATAACAATTGAAGCATTGCATGTGAAAGATCTGCACTGAGGATCAACATGAAAAATATGTCATCCTATAACCTGGTCACACACATCACACTCCATGTCTGCTTGCCCACTTTGAAGAAGGACCTAAAGAAACACTGTAAGATGAACCATGCTGAGTCAAGATCAAAAGCCCACCAAAGGCAGCATGGAAGAACAGAAACAGCATCAAAGGCAGAGCTGGGTGGGGGACTCTTTTTCATGAGGGGAGGTTAAGGAGTACAATACTATTTCATTTGCACCAGGGAAGCAGAGGGCTACAAAACAATCGTTCCCTTAAGTAACAGCCACCCAATGCTTTTGGTTTATTTGTGCTGTGCTAGTTGAAAAGGAAGACATAAAGGTGCTTTTAAAAATAGTTGCAAGGGAAGTTTGTGCTTTGCCAATGGTCTACCTCGCAGTACTGTTCCCTGCTGGACGTGATCTGCTGATAAGCTCCTACCTGGCCTGAACTCAGCTCTGCGTGCCAAGCCACCCATAGCAGTGTACCTGCTCTGGCTGGATTGCTGAGACCCCTTTTTGCAGAGGTTGGGTGCAACCTCCTTGTGGGCAGCATCCAGTGTTGGGCAGCAGCTGGCGAAGCTCAGCTTGTGCACTGAAAGCCTGCTTGGCATCAGTGTCTGGCTGTCATGGAGTGGGGACCACATGGTGGGGACGAATGCGGTCCCTGGCAGGGAGTGGTGACACTAAGACCTGTGCAGTAAGAAGCTGGGGGTGTGGGGGTGTGTGTGTAAATAATCTACTAGTATGACCTAAATGCTGCCAGGCCTTTGTTTATTTTTATGAAGTCAGTAAAGAACCACGTGGGTTCTGAGACTGGAGTTTGGGGACCAGAGGCTGAGAGGTGACACAGAGTAAAGGCATCCAAGCCCTCCATGCGGAAAGGCAGTCAGGCTGAGAGCAGAAGGCTGCTTTCCGAGTTTCCAACTTTTCCTGCATACAGAAAGCTTTGCAGAGAAACAAGAGAGGGAGAACTGCCACAGATGTACAGGTTTAGATGTTACTGATGTCTGCAGTTGGTTGACCCACCAGGGGTTCAAGATGCATGGCTCAAAGATGACCAGTCATCTTTGTTAATGGATCAAAACCCCACAGCTTCAGACTGTGGTAGATATGACAGTGTTAAAAATACAGCTATTCGAAAACACAAACCAGAATTTCTAAGTGCCAGTGAACTGGTGAAGACCAACTGGGAGCAGGAGGTGGATGGCAAAGGCTCTTCCGGTGAAACTGTTGAACAAGTCTGCTGGTGAAGGGAGGGTCCCACGGTCACCTCCAGCAGTATAAAGAGAATTAAAAACAGCAGCAGCAAAAGCCAGTAATGCACCAAAAGCTGTGTCCAGGCTAAACCAGGCCAATAAAAATAGCTGTGCTGGTGAATGAATGAATCTAAACCATGTTTCCTGAAGCAGTTGAACCCTCAGCCACACAGCTCTTCCCAGGAGGAAAGACTGTTGCAATAACATTGCTATGGAAGGGGCGTAACTCTACTTCATAGCTGAGCTGTCAATGGTTATGACCAGTTTGCGTGTATGAAGTGCATGCTTTTCCATATCTCTTTGATACCAGAAAAAGCAAAAATAGGTGTTTGTGTGGGTGCGTGCACTGGTGAGCGCATGTACTAGGCCAGGGAGATCGTGCATGTTTGCGTGTGTGTATGAGTTTGTGCTCACTTAAGGAACTGTGTATGTGCATGAGAACAAGTGCTAGTGAATATGTGAACAAAGAACCTGAGTGGCCATCCTGGCTGCATGTGAGCATCCCAGGCTACAGCAGAAGTGGTGTGTGCTGGGACAGGTGCAGGTTACACAAGGGCAGGTACGGCTGCGCGAGTGCTCACTTATGCCAGCCATGGGGAGTGTGGGTCTGTGCTGGCAGGAGGGCCGAGGAGCACTGGTGTGCACACAAGCACCCCTGCACAAGGGAGGGGAGGTGAGCATCAGAACAGGACAGCACATGTGGCACTGTGGTGCTGGAGGGGAGATGCAGGAAAGCTTTTTCCTGACTGCTCATACAATACAGTTTGGCTCAGCAAAGAGTCAGTGTGGGTGAAGAAGACTCTAGAAGGGCTCCTGCCAGCTATAAACAGAACAATCAGCATACACAGGATGTGGCAAGCAGCTAAAGGCGTCCCATTATTCACTTCACTTTTATTTCAAGGAGATTCACTTCTCTGTTCTGCTTCCCATTTGGGAAGTGAAACCTAAGATCACAGTACCATTAAAAAAAAATACTGGTCACAGCTTATTTGTTTTTCTACTTTATTCTTTCTTTCATTTTAAAAAGTTACTTTGCTTTGCCTTGAATGGAATTTATTGAAATTACTGGTAACGTGTTAAGTCTTCACTCTCTGTTTCTCTCCTGAGGAATAATCTCATTTGCTCTTATTTGAAACTGTTGACTCTGAGGGGAGTGTTTACAGCTCATGACGTGCTTACAGTATGGTGCAACGCAGAGCAGAGGGAACAACGCGGGTTCCTCCTAAGCACAGCCAGAGCTGGCCTGCACACTGCTCACAAGGTGCTTTGTAAACATTTATTCATTCTTGCACACACACTCCCTTCCCTCCCCCCATCAGGTGAGGAAATATTATTGTCACCATTTCGCAGATAGAAGAAGTGAATGCAGATAGGTTTGGTGACTCACCCACAGCCGCTGAGGCAGATCTAGAGCTGAGGTGTTAAGCTCCTAGCTACCTAATTTAACCCAGCAGGTCACGTTCCCACCCAGGGCTGACAATATAGGTAGTGTCAGCTCCATCTACCTGCCACCCACTTGTCCTGTGAAGCAGTAATGCTCATCTTTACGTTTGCAGAATGAGATCAGACTGCTGTGGCCTACTCCATGCAATGGTGTCATCACAGTGCGATATATTATTATGATATCATGATGTGATTATGCCTGAAACTAATGCAAGGACACACACAGAACAGAGGTAGGCAGTTAGAAATCAGCGACCATGTGTTCTCCGACCACATCAAATACACACACACCCTAAACCAGGGTGTTGGTTGATCCCACCACACTGCAAATATCTGCAAATGATCGGTATGTTGGGCAGGGGCTCCCCACCTTCTTTGTTGGAACCCGGGTTAATTTCTGCCCTATGCAGTCCTGGTGCAAACAGCTGAAGTAGGCAAGATGGCTCTGTGAGGCAGTGGAAGGAAAATGTTTGCCTCTCCAGTGGAAATCACTCTCAAAGTATATGGTCAGTAGATAAAGATCATTGTCCCAGTTCTTCAGTGAGGCTGGTTGTCTTTAGTGCTGAGAACTTACTGGAAACTAAGCCTCCTCCTGAAGGTGGTTCAATACAAGCACTCAGGAAATAGAGCCTTCAGTTGTCTCATCACAGCTGAACATCCAGGGCTACATGTTGCCACTGTTTGCTCTGTTTTGCTATTTAAGATCTTCTCTCAGACGAAATCAAGAACAAAACCAATAAAAAATACCCCACTCCTTATCATCTTTGTTTGCTTTTCACAGTGTTTACATGGGGCGTGATTTCACTCATGTCCAACTCATCCCAGATGACTCAGATTAGTCAGTTCCACTTTTTGAGATGGTTCTGTCTGTCTGCTGCTCAGGCCCTGCAGGATGCTGCCATAACCAGCCTCACGTTACAAGAGGGGAGGTTAGATTTCCCTGTATGAATCTTAACTTTTATTTTTAAATAAATCGCTTGGTATTTCCTTCTGTTAAATATCACCTTTGTAAAATGTCATTCCAATTAAGCTGGTGTTGCTTTTTGCCTTGCCACATGCAAAACTTGTTTCCACCACCACAATGAAGTTTGCAGAGAGATTCTCCTTGATTTTTGTGAGCTTCAGACCCATCTCTCAGGAGCTGTTTCTGCACCTCGTGAGAGAAACAGCAAAACACCCACTAATTTCAAGGTGTCAGAGATTAGGGTCTCAGAAGGACTTGGGAGTGGGAAGGGAATGTATTTGAGTACCTGGACTGTTCAAAGGCCTCCCTGCATCTCTTCTACCATGGTGAGTGGTTTTGGGGTGTTCTGGGACTCTACAGTTGTAGGGAAATGGAGAGGCAGAAGAATCTCTTGAGCATCTAGAAGGAGGATGGTTTGCTCTTCTTCCTCTGGCCTTCCTTAGGGGACTAAGTGCCAGCCAAACAGTGCTGGCTTGTAAAGAGTCATGACACCTTTCTGGACAATTGTCTCTGGAGTTGAGGTTTCCTTTCCTTACTGAGGGTTGAACCGGAGTTTTCAGGATGTGGAGGAAGGCAGGGTAGCCAGTGCTGTGACGGGTGGCAGGAGAGCACGGGCTGCTGTGTGGAAGAGCCTTGAGTCAGCGCCTTTCATCCACACAAACAGAAGAGCCCCTGTTGTTGAACTGGCAGAGAGTTAATCTCATAGTTAAAATGTTACTGGGCTCTACCTGCTCTTATCCTTCCACAGTGCAAGGGGCAATGGGCTCAGTAGGTCAACTGGCCAGTACCTGACAGCAGCTAAAGGGACCCAGTCAAGGCCCAGAATTTGACCTGTGCCTCCTTGGTTAGATCCTTTTCCACAGTCATGTCATTCTTTTATAGCCGTTATGCATGCTTCAGTGTGTTTTGTGATAAACAGAACAAAGTAAAAACCCTGCAGTTAAGAAAGCCCAGGCTGAAGCTAGATAAGTTCATCAGGCTTCATCAGCTGTCCTGCAGCAACACAGAGGTGCACAGGGTGCTTGTGAGGGCAGCCTTGGCATCCGTGGCTGGGAAGTGAAAGTCAAATCCTTAGAACAGTGCAAAACACAGTGCCTCAATTTCAGGAGTACCCAGAGGGAAAGACTGTGCCAGCTTGTGAGAGACAAATAAAACAGCTAGTGGAGTCACAAATTCAGGGCAGATGCCCAGGCAACACCCCGCCTTCTTCTCGTAAGAGGTGTATAGCCAACACCTGTGGCACTAGTAATTAGAGTCCTGGGGGCTTGTTTGCTGCTGGCATTGCCACCGTGCCTACCCTAGCCACAGATCTCTGCTCCCAGACCTAAGCCACCAACACTGCAAGTTGCTATTTTGCTGGCCGAAAGCTCTCTGAATTGGAACAGGGAACAATCCTTGCTATCTCTACAGGTTCCAGCTCAGTGATGTGTGCTACACCCATTCATCTAAATGCAGAATTAACTCTGAAACAAATAATAAGGTTTTAAATGCCATCACACAGCTAATTTATTTCCCAGCTGTCCCAAAGTTCTTCCCAGGTGCTGAAAAGCTTAGCTGCCAAGATCTCCATAGCCTCTGCTGACAACCTCAGAGAGCAACTCTGTATTGCATCATCTTGCCTACTTGTTGCAGGCCCCAGGTGCTTTCAACCATCAACGTGCTCAGCCACAGAGCCCCCTGCAGTGGTGGTGTCACAGTTCTGCCCCCAACACAGCCAAGGAGACATGAGTTGGCCCAGCAAGAAGTGACTTCTCCCTGCTGATAGGGGAAGTGGGTGCTGGAGCAACACCACCAGCTGATTCATCCTGTCTTCCATGTGTGTCTTCCCACCTCACAGCAGGGTGCTTTGCCTTGATGTTGGTGGAGTTACACAAGTGCAAGCTAGGCGTGAGCTCACAGTACAACACAGTGGTTGTGCTGAAGACACAAGGTCATCCCACCCTTGGGAAGGAGAGGACACAGGTGTATATATGCACACATGAGCACACCTCCGTGGCTGTGTGTAAACACACATGTCCACACGGAGTTTCCATTTGGAGCTGTGCCCTGCATGGCAAATATCTGTTCAGGCAGAAAAACATCACTGCCCCAGTTCCTGACACAGAATCATTTTTGGTTTTCTTTCAGGTTCTGGAGTTACTTCTGTCTTTGCAAAAATAGCACTGCTCCAGGCAGCCTTCCTGATAGGTGGAATAGTTTCCCCCTGAGGAGAAACTGGTGGAAATCCCCTCTCCTGAGACATTTTTAACTATGCCAGAAAATGTACAATGGGAGTGACTGATTTAACTAGTGAGCTGACTGGGATGAGCTAATGGGTTTTTCCATCTCTGGTGTCTAGTTCCAGGGATTTCCATGAATTGCTGTCAGGACAGAAGAAGGCAAGAGATTGCAACTGTGGGATCTGCTGTTTCAGCTCCACTGACACGTCATTCTCTCAGGACACCCAGTGACCTGGTTAATCTAGTTCTTTGCTTCTGACTTCTCCTCGTAAATGATTTATCAACTGGCATGGATCCCTGTTTGCTTAAGGAGGCGTGTGACGACCTCTAGCAGACCAGCTGCACAAAGCTACAGCCTGCATTTGGCACCCAGCTGCTGGTCCCAGCTCGTGACCCTTGGCACAGGGAGCACAAGGACAGGGCTCCAGCAGAGCCCGGTGGCAAGGGCTGAGGCAGGGAACTGTGGGTAGTGTTTACATGGCTCTGTGGAGAGCCCCGGTGACTAAGCCATCAGCTTGTCAGCAAGGGTGCTTGCAGGTTTGCCTCAGCCTGTCCTGACCCCCACAACACAGAGTCCTGACTGGGCAGCCGGATGCAGTGTTCACTGTATACAGACTGTGGGGTACAGGTCACGGGAAGCATCAGCTGTGCCAGAGCCAGCCTTGGGGTCCATGTGCTCCAGAAGAAAAAATAACGTGAACATCTACCACCTTATCCATCCTCACAAAGTAGCATCAGTGGCAATGACACTGGTGTCAGCACCAGGTAGAGCTCTGGGGGTCTTCATCATGTGCACACGTAGGTCAATATATGTGTCACCACACACAAAACACTGCAACTAAAAAGACGATAGTGCAGATCTAAACTCAAGCACTCACGCCAGAGAGGTGAGGGATGATCCTACAAGCCTTTGTATGTGAGGCTAAAGGAGCGTGGAGAGAGATCAGATATCACCAACTGGGCATCCTCCTAAAAAACTGTCTATGGGCAACTCCCTGCCTTCCCTCCAGGCCAGTTATTGCTGCTTCCTGCTCTGATTGTTTCAAATCCAGTTATCTTGAGTTATGCCTGTTCCGGCAAATACAGTGCAGCAGAGGGGAGGTCCCGTTCATGTCGATGTTGTATGCATGCCACAGATCACAGAGATTAGCACAGGAGGAATAACCCAGATGATCTGCTTGAGGCAGGTATTGGGAAGCTTACAACAGAGCTGTGTAACCATTAGAAATATAAAAGTGTTTTAACAGATGAAGAGCCATGCTGAATTTCTAGATGGCTGGAGGCTGTTTCACAGGGGCAGTACACAGCAGAAAAGGAAGCTGAGGAAGCTCACTCCAGCACTGGCCCAGACAGCACTGTTTCCAGAAGCATGGTGTCACACCACCCAAGGGCCACATCATCAGGCAGGGCTGGCTTAGACTGCGGCAAGGAACCTGCAGCCACATGTAGGCAGAGGCATGGGGTGTTTTTCTCTCACGTAAGGGTGGATCTGGAGCAGCTTTCAGTTTCTTGGGACCTGAGAGGTGGTTTTGTTCATATCACAAGAGGACTGAAGGTGCAACTTCTCTTTCCTTTTCTGGGGGCACACCACAACCTTCCTTTCCTTGTGCCTCAACGGGAACTCTGTATTCACGCATCACAAGCCCCCACTCTACACATTGTACAGCACACCAACATCACAGAACAACCACCAGCTGGTGGTATGTGTGAGTGGTAATTCCCACCTGGCCAGGAACAGCTGTAAGTACCCTGTGGCTCAAAACCCCAAACTACGTCCCCAAGGATGTATTCAGTCTAGGCTGAGCCCACACACCCTGTGATATCCTAGTTGTAGTTGCAGGGCAGAGAGGCAGGACAGGGAAAGACAGGAAGGCTAGCAAGTTATCCCAAAATCATATTTCCAAGCTTTTAATATGGGTGGATGTATTTTAGGTATAACCTTCAATGTGAATTCCCAAGTACTGATAGATTATTTATAGGTAACTCAGGGTTCAGGCTTAGCTTCAAGCCTGATCTCAGTCAGATCACACCACAGTCCTGCTCTGCAAACAGCAGAGAATAGCCTGGTCCATATAGAAACTACGCCCTTATCAGCAGCACAAGTACTCTTGGCTTTGCAAACCCAAAAACTTTTACTGAAGATAGCACAGATGTAGAGTGATGCAAGTGCAAAATTCCCCAAAAGCATTCCCCCTGTCCCTAGGGAGCTGAAACAAGAGCCGAATTTTCTCATGGACTTCTTCTGTGGCAGATGCACAGATTTAGGAACAGAACATTAAAAAAAGCACCCAGAAACTCTTTGGCAGAGCCAGGACTGAAACCTTTTTCCTCTCATCTCCGGTCTCCCAGGTTGTGAGAGAGATTGCTTCCAGGTGCCTGGCTTTGTTCTGGTCCTGGCAACAGAAGGCCATTTTCTGGTCCATTCTCTGTCTATCCCAAAGGGGGTTTAATTTGCATTTTTTACCACAACCAAACAGATATTTTCATTGAGCTGTTCATGCAGAAACCATTTTACTGAGCTGTTCTGATTTTGGTGTGCTAAATTCACCCATCTGGCAGAGCACTTTACTGCAAGACAGAACTCACATACCTATTAGCTGGGTCCTACTACAGGGGATCCTACCGGGATGCTCTGGTCAAGGCTACAGCTACCTGGTGTGTCAGGGGCATCCTCCTTTACCACCACTGTTCTGGGAAGACTGGCTCAGAGTTAAGAGGCAGCTTATCCCAGTGTCTTATTCAGGTCCACAGCTGATGAGGTTCACATTAAATCTACTGGCAAGATATAAACAACAAGATTGAATGCAGAAGGGCACAGTTATGGATGAATAAAAGTAAAGGGAATAATAACCTGCTTTTCCTGGACCTGGCCCAGAATTCACTAAAGGGATTTCCATGAGCATTAGTAGGATTTAAATCAGCCCATAAATTTATTGCAAATTTTCTTCAGCTTTATTAAAGTGGGGGAAAACAAAAACAAACCCACAACCTAAACCCCTATATGTTTAAGGTTGTTTCCCCTTTTTCTCATATATTTATTCTTTCTGCTCCTTCCTGGCACTGGGAAGACTATAACCCACCTCTGAGAAGACCATGATCTGACAACTGCCCATAACATGAGAAGTGTGTTCCCCAGCCCGCAGCTTTGCTGGCCCTGAGCAACAACCAGCTCAGCTCTGCTCCACTTGAAGGCTCATCACTAGTACTGGGCACTGGCATAGCAGAATTACAGAGTGAGGGAATGTTCTTCCTATCTTATTGTCATTTCCCCAAATATCAATTAAAAAAATGTCACATTTCTGTACCCTGTGGATGTCATCTGCCTTATGTGTGCACTTTGTTAATGCTGGGTTGTGACACACACTTCCCACAAGTCGTCTAGGGAGGAGAATTACAAGTATCAAAGCACTTTAAGATGCCGGCAGAGTGCCTAATTGGATTACAAAAGGGTATTCCTCCTGCCACCTTTTGATTTCAGTGCAGGCTGGACATGTAACTATTCCCATCCTTAGATACCAAACAACTTTAAAGTCTGGTAGACAGCCTGAGTTCCCTCTTAGACTATGGCACTTACTTAGCTCTCCATGTGTTGCAAGGATGGGAGAAATAATGACTGAGTTCTCAGGAAATACAGAAATGGGGTCAACTAAGTAACTTTTAAGTCAGTTAGAAAGACAATCTATTAACACTTTCTGCTAATAGCCAGCTTTGATAGATTCCCATGATTCCCACTGCCAGCATCTCCATTCCCACAAATAAATAGTTATGACTCTTCTCCCTTAAAAGGCTAGTTTATCTCATTTAAAGTAGAAAGAGCATGGAGATACATCTATCAACACTGGGGATATTAACTCTCCCTTTCTATTCCCATGTTTAAAAAAGAAGCGAAGCATTCAAAGCTTAAATTGGAAAGTCTATAACACAGAGTGGCTGTGGATGGGAGTCATTAAATGCCTGGCTGCATTTTTTTTATCAAAACAATAAAGCAACTGACTGTACAAATAGCTTTGGCAAAGTAGGGCTTAGGTTCTCTCGGAGTTTACAGCCCTGTATCCCTGAAAGTCAAGTATAGCAGCAAAGCCTTTGACCCTTCTGAGCACTGAGGAGGGGCTGGCTCTCACCCCAGAAGAGCTGCTGGCACATCAGGCAAAGCACACACCAAATGTGTGCAAGTGTGAGGCCTAAAGGAGCTACTGCATCTTGACTTTGACTTCCATGTAACTTCACAAATGTCAGGGTCAATTCCCAGGAAAAAATTCCTGGTCCATTACAGGCAATGTGGAGTGCAGAGAAGATCAAATCCATTGTCCTCATTTTAAACAAGAAGGGAAAAAAAAAAACAACCCAACAAACAAATTCAGTTTGTTTAAATGCAGTATTACCTGCCCATGTTTTGTCTGAACTACCAAAGTGTGAGGCCTGTCTCACACTTCACGCTCCGTTTTCAAAAGGAAGGCGTTTCTGTATTTTTCAGCATTGTGGTGCATGAGCAACCTAGAGGCCACAGTGCTGCCACCTAGAGGCCACAGTGACTTTCCAGCACATTCCCTGGGACAGCAATGGCACTGGCAATAACCTGTTACCCTTATTACCCCTTTGTAAAGAATTTCCCATTCCTGAATCAACATCTCTCATTCCAGAATTATGTATTCTGCCTTAAACAATCCAGATTAAGAATAGGCTATATAATGAATGTGTCCACCATAGGGTTGAAGGACAGTATGAAACATGAGATACAAAGCAGAGCCTTGCAGAGATATCTGAGGAGCTTTGGGGAGCTTTAGGCTACTGGGAGTGGTATTAAATATGTGGTTTTGAAGGAGTTATAGCACGAAGACTTGAGTATGGGACAGGGCTCTGTGTTGCCTTCTTAGTCACATCAAGCTCTATAGCCACAGAGTGAGCATGACTTTCACCTGCTCATCCCATTGCTACTGCTCACAGCTACCAGGCTTGGGAGGAGTTTGCTCTGGAAATGCCCCAGAACTGTATCTATTTTGGCTCCGAATGTGCATTTCTCTCATCCCTACAGCAATCTCATTCCTCTTCACCAATAATCAGCGGGACCAGGTCTGCTGAGACCAGCAGCAAGCTCTGGCTACCAAGGCCTGGACACTATCCTTCCCAACCTGTCTCTGAACTGAATGCTGCAAGTCAAACTGATCCAAACTCCTGACAATTGGAACCAGTCTGGAACTTGTCTTGGTGGTTACAGCCTGTACAGGAGAGTCACATCTCAGCTCACACACTCCATCCCAGTGGCTGCTCTTCTGCCTTGCTGCCTGAACTCTCTAGTCTGGTTCAGGAATGGCCTTTCCCCATGCATTTCCCTACAGCAGGTGTAGGAGTCATTTAATACTGACAAATGTTAAAAGGAACCACACAGAGGACATTCATGGCAACCTACTGGTGTCCACAATGCCCCATGCTAATTTGAGGTGTGTTAGACCCTTCTGCGTCCCAAACACCTTGGGCAGCTGCGCAGGCTGAAGTGGATCAAACAAGTGAGGGTTGCACAGTGATACTCTGGCCTTGCAGCTGTAGAACCCCAATCAAATGCCCTTGCAAAGCACTTCAGTTTTGCTTGCATACTGCCTGCCCTGTGCCCTGCACCGGCTGTATTGCAAAATCCCCCGTTGATGTGACTAAGAGTCACGCTCTGCAGCCTCAGCTTCAGTTTCTACCTCTCACAGCCCTGAAATGGAGACAGGGAAGTGTCAGATGCTTTCTGTTCTTCTTACCTAGGACTCTCTAACCATGGGTGTTTTTGAGTCCAAGGAGCTGGAGTGACCTTTCAGTCAATACTGTTGTGTGAGTGGCTAAATAAAAACAGATCTGAACACAGTCAGTGCTGCTTACAACAAGGAAAGGGGAAGCAGCCGCTGACTCCAGCAAGTGCTAGCAAAGTTCTGCAAGAAGTGGCTAAAAATAGGGCTGCCCCCTACAACACTTCCGTCCTGCTTTTGACACACTCACAGCTTTCACATCCCATTGGCCTCGCTGTTTCCTTGACGAGGACTTGCCTCACGCCCCAGCACCACAGAGCAGCCCTTCCTGCTGTGGACAGCCTCAGGAGCTTTGAAGTGCAGGCAGCTCCCTCCCACCCTGGTGTAACTGGCCACTTCCCCTGCCCTCTTTACGTGTGCTTCAGTCACAAATGAGAAGTGGGGCAAGCCCCCACTGATGGTCTTGCCCTAAGAAGACACTAAAAATCTCAGAGATACTGAAGACCAGAAAAGCTTTCCACAGTGGACTGTTTTCTCAGTAAATTAAATGGTGGGAAGTGTTTGTCTGAAAATTCCCAAACACTACCTTTCAATTTTCATGCTTATTCTTGGAAAACTTGGAGCTGAAAATGGCCTGAACCTGCTTCTTAAGGAAAAAAGAAAGCAAATGAACCCAGAATGCAGAGGAGGGGATGCAAATGGGAACTCAGAAGAGTGGTCTGAGGCTTAGATGCCTTTGCCCCTGGAGCCAGGGAGATGGCTGTTAGCAGGCCAATGATACTATGTGGATGTCAGATGATGGAGGTGGGTTAGCAATGAACGGTAGGAGGAGAAAGAGCATTGCCAGTTCTGCCAGTGCTGGCCACGAGAACAGAGCTCAGAATGGGTGGCAATCACTGTTAAGCTGAGGAGAAACCAACGAAGTCTGTTAACCCAGATGAAATGGAGACTGTTGAAAACACTCTCTGCTGTTTGCCCAAGGCTTTGCAAATCCTGGGAAAGTAATGCCCCTGGGAATTTGGGCTGACTGGGAGCTCATTAGCACTTCTGTATTCCCTGCTTTTCAGTCCAGCAGGTACTAGGAGGACAAGGCAGCACATGCTGGATTTCTTGAATTTTCCCTTGGATCAGGGAAATCCAAGACCAGAGATTTGCCGCCTTCTCTGGACCACAGACAATTAAGCAACACACCACGTTGTTGCCACACTACAGGGGTCCAGGCAATCTGGGAGCTCCTCCAGGAGCTTGGAGCCTGGCTGTTCTAGCCTCAAGCTCTCAAGCAGAGGAATCTTATCTTAAATGAGAAACACTTCACAGAACCTGATTCTACTCCCAGGTAACAGGTGATTCAAGAAAGCCAGCTGAATCCCCTTGCTGTAAAAGGACTGATGATAAGACTGTGCGCCTTCACTAGGCTGGGGGATGCTGTCCTGGGGTAGCCTTGATGTAGCCCCGAGTTTGGCAGAAGGCTGCCTTGGAGGGTTGGCTTGGTAAAGGCCAGGCATCTCTGAAGCGGACCAGGGAAAGGCACACCTGGGGAAAGAGCTTCCAGCCAGCTCCCAGGGACAGGCTCCAGGGAGTAACAGCCCTGTTAGGAAAGGGCTGCTTCAGGGCTCTGGGTGGTAAAACAGCAGAAAAACATTCTGCTCTGAAGTCACACCTAGATGGCAAGAAATTTTCTCCAGACCAAGCCAAAAGCTATTTCCTGCAGCCTCTTTGTTACCAGACTCCTTTGGGGGCCTGGCAACATTTGGTGCCAGAAACAGAGCCATGGTAGGAGAAGGGTGCAGCCGCAGTCCTGGGCAGCTCCTGTGGGTACACCTGTGTGGTGAGGAGGATGGAGGGGTTCCTGGTTCCTCAGCACACAGTTTTATGCTTCTCAGTGTGGTGCAGAAGAGGAGCATTTGTAAGTTCTTGCTAAGCCTTGCTAACCACTCTCCTCTTAAAAACAGTCTGTGTAGGTTTCCTGGGTGGTTGGTTTGTGGTTTTTACCATTGCAGTTTAGTATCTGGATCTTAATTCAACCTCTCCATCTGCCTCCTTTGCTCCGTCAGACTCACAAAGGTGAGCAGCTTGGGCCCTTGGTGAAGCTGTACCTCTGGGTCCTTCAGAAGCTGTTGTGGGATCTGGGGAGCTACCCCGAGGCTGTGGCTGGTCCACAGCCCTTCAGGTCAGTCCTCATGGTGGCCCTCATGACAAGGGGGACTTCCAAGGGCCTGAGGCAGTGCCAGGGAGGTGGAGGGATGGGACACACGGTATCTGCATGGTCCTTTGAGAGAGCTGCACGTGCCTCAGCCCCTGAGTTGATTTTTGAGCTCCCCCCAACCACCCTTTTCCTTCCGCTCCCCTGGCAGATGAGCATGCAGAAACCACGCGAGGGAGGCAAGACAGAATTTCCCGTGCTCTAGTCAGCGTGGTGTTACGGTTGTGTGTGTGTGTGTGTGTGTGTGTGTGTGTGTGTGTGTGTGTGTGTGTGTGTGTGTGTGTGCGTGTGCGTGCTTTGTTTCCACCAAGGCGATGGCTCATATCACAGGGGCTGTTTTAGGAGGGATGTGGCAAGTTGCTTCTAGACCGGGCGTTTATCT